ATCTCTACCGACATCCCACTATGCCCAAGATACTCCTCTCTATCCTTTAGTGTCAATATGAGTACCCTCCTTTCAAAAGTGAACCTAGCTCAACTGGATGGGTTGGAGACATGACTATGCATCACCTAATCAGGTTTCAGTTTTCTTCAACTCAAATTTGGGTGCCTAGTTTCATTTATGTTGGTGTCATTTTTTAACACCCTCTCATTCGTTATCACTCTGCATAACATAGCAGACCTAATGCACAGAAGACCACCATTGGTCCTCTCTTTTTTTTTCTAACAGAGATGATCTCTGACCCATAAGTTGCCATGAGAATTGCCAAGGTATCCAACACAGTGCGTGCTAGCTTTTGCCATATCAGTTGCCCATAGCACTTTCACTTTTGGTCAACTACACGATGCATAGCTATATATGTCTGTATAATCAAACGTCATGCATCATTGGAGGCCTTTGTTGAATGGACATGCTACCGTTGTACGGGTGCAATTGAATGTGAGGACAATCCGAGCTTTTGTTTTCCTGTGATGTTGCTGCATGCATGCGCAATGAATACCTTAGCTCCGGCCGGAGGAAAAGGGTTATGGGTTAGCAGATAGCACTATAGAATCAGGGTGGTTAGGTACACTCAAAAGTTAGACCAAGTTAGATATTTACTTTTGGCAGGGCCGTATTTTTACATGACATGGGAGAGTGCATGCCGTAGTGCACATACTTTACAAGATAGCCTGGGGCCATCGCTGCGCCACTGACTCCCATTGGCCATGATGTATGGACTTGTGTTGATGCTGAATTGAATCTCCGATCACATACCTGGGCTAGCACGCCCAAAGTCACACATGGCCTAGTTACATAGTGATCTGAGTAACTTTGAAATCAGCAAGTACCACACAGCTGGTTGGTAGAGCCGATTTCAAGCCTGTTCTTCGCCGATAGAGCTTAAGAACACCTCCTAGGAAGACATGTCGGGAAGATGCCCACCGAGGTTGTCCTAGAGGCCACCTAGAACGCCACTGAATCTCGTCGAGGGATGCACCAAACAGAAGGGGTTGCAAAAGATAGGGTGAAGGGAATAATAGATGTATTTTGAATGATTGGACCACTACTACTGCCTACATTATTGCAGACGGCCCAAATGGCTTAACGGAGGTGGCAGGGTGTCCGCCTCCCATTAAGCGCCTACGTTAATGGCGCTTTTCGGATCCTTTGCCTCCTGCTTCATCTCTTTGAAGTTCTCTAGCCACCTTGGGCTACCAAAGAGAAGGTCGTCATTGTCAAGATGGTTAATTAATGAATTCCTCAAAGAACTCCGCGTCCTCAGGGTCCTCCAAGGCCGCCTCACCGAGATCCCCATCATCGTCACCCCCGCTGTTGGCCATGTCTTGGACAAAATCATCCATCGTGATGAAATCATTCTCGCCAGCAATGGCATGCCCGACTGATGATGATGAGGCTCATCCTCCATGGTCTGCATTCACCGTCGATGACGATGTTCCTCTAGATGCACCACCTGCACCTCTCCTTCATTGTGGAACTTTCAAACCATGTATCACCTGACGAAACCCCACTTGATCAAGTGAGAGATTTGACATCTTCGCCATCTAGCAACAAAACTTGATTGTTCTTGTAGCGAGAACACGAACATATCATTCCCTTCTGATTCACACTCAGAGGATGCTTTTGAGCAGAGTCAACAAACTTTTTCACTTGTTCTATGAAGGGATGTGATAGCCTCAATATTAGGTACATCCATTCTGACCTTTCCATGCTAATTAACCTTGTATGTAGCGAAAGAATATTAATAAGACTAACTTGCATCACTTGAATGACTAACTTATTGCAAAGAACATAAATATAGACAAAAAAACACCACTGGATAGCAGCATAGCTTCTGTATGTCCCACAGAAACATAAGTATAACAATATTACAAAGAAAATCATACAAATGAAGAACAAGATCTGCTTTCTCTCTCCTCCACCATAGAACTAATTCTACATCTAGATCTAGATCACCCAAAACTTGAAAAGAGAGCAAAATAAGGATGTGAGAGTGCATAACAAGTTTGGCAAGTGGTCGCCAAGTTGGGACCGTCTACTAAAGGTGATCAAAGTGATATTTGAAAACTTGTATATGGTGGAGATCATCGTCTTCCACGAGCAATAAACAGGAGATATTTGAAAACCATATCCTTTTTTTAGAATCTTGAAAAAATATATCCTAAGTGTTTGGCAATAGGCCTAATTGCTAACCAAACAATGGCCGATACATGTATCTCCCTTATAACAAACATGGCCGATATATACACCGCCCTTAGATGCTACGTAGCCAATGAGTTGGACATCGCTACTATTTAGTGCTTTATGTTTTTAGGTTCACATAAACCTCACCTAAAAATAGGGGGCTATGTTGATAGCAAAATTTTGCCTACAAGTGTAACGAACTCCAACAGTGAATTCATGGTGTCAAGATGACCGAAAAAACATGTTTGGAACATTGTGTTTGGAGTTCAAATGAAGAAAAAGGTGGTTTTGGGCACAATCTGCCAAAACCAGCTTAACCAGTTTGCCAAACTGGCCAGGGTGGTTTCAATTTTCCCTACCTGTCAAGGCTGACTAGCCTCGAGAAAACTGCCTTAGCCGGTTTTTGGATCTAGCTAAGATGGGTTTTAGTGATCTCAGACCGGTTTGAGTCCAACTCGATCCGGTTCATGTTTTGACGTGAGAAACTTGTAAATTGGATCTTGGATAAATTTCCTACTGGGATAACACCACCGTCCTCTATATATATCGGAGGATCACAGCTGATTGAGAATCCAACTTTAATTTCAATCAACAAAAAACTAATCTGTTACCTTTTTTCGTTTACACCAACTTTTCCAACCCCTGTTGTTTGACATGCCTCTCGGTGAGATTCGGTGGCGTTGTAGGTGGCCTTGCCAATCCTAGGACATCCTCGACGTGCCCCTCTCTGACAGGTCTTCCCGAAAGATGTTCTCGTGGCCTTCCGGTGAAGAATGACTCCATTTTGGCTCTACCGACCCGTGGTTGGTATTGCTGATTTTGGGGGTATAATTACTACATGATAGGCCGTGTGTTGCCTTGGGCGTGCTAGCACTTGTTGTTGTGTGACCCGAATCGATGACAACACTAACTTTTATCAAGTTTATCAAAAAGAAATTGATGACAATCCCAAGAGATGAAAAAGGGGCTCCTGTTGCCTGAGCATAAAACATGAAAAATGAGAACTTAAAAGTTTGGCAAGTGGTCGTCATATAAGGCGATCAAAGCAATGTTTGGAAATTCATATATGTGAGAGATATTGTAAGGTGACTGTCTCTCAAGAGCAATTAACGAGATATATCTGGAAAAGTATTTCCCAAGTGTTTGGTAAAAAGCCTAAATACTGTCCAAACAATAACCGATATACAATATGTCCTATAGAATAAGAAACGGTAGACGCATGCATCGCCCTTAGTTTGCAAATAGCAAATGAGTTGGACATCATTGCTATATGCTTAGTTCGCCCTTAGTTTTTAAATTCCCATAAATCTCCGATAAAAATATGGGGCATATGTTAACAACCAAAATGGTCAAAGGAGGCTATTAAGTCCAGAATTTCCAACTGAAACAGGCTTAGTTGGTTTCCCAAATCGGCTAAGCCAGTTTTGGCGCTTTGTCAAAATGCATAATGGACTCTACCATTGCGTTCCTCTTGTTGAGAGGATCGAAAAATATATATGGAGCATCCAGTTTTGACCCCGAGTGAAGAAAACATGATTTCCATGGACTCATCTAGCATAAACTAGAATGACCGGTTTTCAAAACCAGCCAGACCAGATTTTTCAACTTCTTCAAATTGAACACTAGACTGCACCATTGCATTCCCCTTGTGGATCGGAGGTGATCAAAAGACATATATAGATCATTTAATTTGGAGTCCGGATCAAGAAATTATGGTTTTCAGTCCTCCGATAGGTTTTGCCTTAGACCCGCAAAACCCGTCCAAGCCAGTTTTGAAAACCAGCGAGGCCAGTTTTCCTATTCGGATCTTGAATTGAGTGTTACTGATGGAAACTCGCCCAATGCCATGAGAAATTTGTAGAATTCATTGGGAAATGGTTTTTTATTGGGATAAGACCACTCCCTCTATATTTATTAGAAAATCATGGTCCATTGAGGTAAAAAAGTAAAAACACATCTATTACTCTTTTTATCCTCTATTTCCCATCTATCACTGCTCCTCGTTTTTCATTGTCGCTGTGGATGAATGATGACGAAGCTCTAGAGGGGCCAGGCCGACTAGGGCAGCCTATCACCACCGCACACACTGACGGGGTCCCTCTTGGATGTGTGGGGTTACTTGTTTTAAGAGACCTTGTTGTCATGTCTTGTTTATCGTGCTCCATATGAGGCTCCTATGGTGACATGTCTTGCATATCATGCTCATTGCTGGAGGAACTTGAGAAAATATTCGTCTACGAAAATGCTATAAGTGACGGCCAACCTAAAACTCGTCTAGGCTGCGATCTTACTTCTTACCATTGTGCCGACAATAATTCACGTCAACACCAGTATTACATTACCAGTTTGAATAACTTATCTGATGTGATAAATATTTTTATCGTATGGTCAATGAGTGTTGTTTTTAGATGTTCTAAAACGGTCCTTTTTCATAGTTTATACATTCTTAATCAAAATTTGATTAGGGTGCCTTCCATACGGACGGAAGTTCCTATCGGATGCGTAGGAGGTAATTCTATGAGGCCACCACGGACCAAGATGCACAGTATGGTATTATATTTCTTATTATGGTACCAAGCCGCGAGGAGTAGCAAAAAGTATATCCAAATTAAACTCTCACACGCTTTATAACCTAACAAATTATTCAGGCATGTTCTTTACAGTAAAGACACATTAGAAAATTCAACGAAATGCTGCACAGCACACATGCGTCAGCGGCTGCTGCGCTATTCCAGCATTGGGATCGACCAGCGCCTCGATCAGCTGCAGGACTGGCTCACGCCGAAGGCGCTGACCGGAAACGACTGTGTGAACTGCTTGGCCTGAAATGTGAGTTGGTCACCGGCACGGTCGACTTGTCTGATACCGAGCCAGCCGAACTTGATCTGCACATCCACGCCGTACACCTCCTGGATGGAACCGGGCTTGATGACCCCTCCAACCGTGCTGGAGAAACGGAACTTGAGCTGTTGGCCGCCGAAGGTGACTGGAATCTCACACCGTCCTGCGAGGGTCACTTCTAGTTTGCCGTCCGGGTTGAGAACGTATGATCGAACACCCTGGGGGAGGAGTCCACGCGGTAAGTTGTTTTTGTCCAGGATGTCGTATGCTGTCCCTGTCGCAGCCGCCTTCAAGCTCGCTACGTACGCAATGTGGTGGATGCAAGCCAGGGTGACGAGGAGGAGAATGTGCTGCTTGGCCATGACTACTGATCCACTCACAGAAACTTGCTTGCAAAAGCGCACACGTAGTATATACTATCAAACTATATGGGATGGGAATGGGATATGAGAGTCGATCATCCCTGGCTCCAGTATATATATATAGGCACGTATGCATGTCCAAATGAATCAGAGTTTAATTGCGCAATTACACCTACCAATTCTGTCCCATTGAAACGGTCGTCACAATGAATACGAAATAACCTAGATTTATATTGCAGTCATTCCCTGCCTAAATGACATTACGTTCTACAAAAACTTTAGGTTCATCATCCTACCAAATCAATCGGAGTTCAATTGCATACCTATTTAGTTCTGCCTAAATTATGTTCCATCAAAGCGTTTTTCATTATAAATAGTACAAATTAACCAAGGTTTTAATTGCTTTGATTACGATATAATGCTTTCTAAATGACATTTCACCAGAACAGAACGTTTATCACAGTGCTTTCCTATTTTTCTGAAATACATGGTTCTTGATATATAGTACGGGAGTAAGAGTCACATGAAAATCTGTCTTCTCCTATCAGACATATGATATTCATATTCTCATATAATAAAAATTTATTTCCTATCAGGGTGCAATATTTGGAACACTTGCAATTATATCTACCAGGTTGTAAAGCTTCACTGATGAACAGAGCAGGCCGTTTGGTTTTGACACGGGTGGTCCTAACAGCCACTGTAATTTACCTTTTGATTGTGGTGGATCTTCCCAAATGGGTTATTAGAGCCATCGACAAGTAACGTAGGGGTTTCTATGGAAAGGACAGGAAAAGGCTAATGGAGGAAATTGCCTGGTAGCCTGGGAGGCCTTTTGAATATGGAGTGCTAGGCATTCACAATCTAGAATATTTTGGTTGGGCACTTCGAATCCACTGGCTATGGGCAGAGAAAACAGATCCATCGAGACCTTGGGCTGGTCTCACCATCTAGGTACCACAAAAAGCTCAAGCCTTGTTTCATATGGCAGTTGATGCAATAGTTGGAAATGGGGAGACAATTTTATTTTGGTCACATCGCTGAATAAATGGTAACACTAAGGCACAAATAGCTCCTAACCTTTATAAAATTATCCCCAAAAGGGCGGTGAGATCAAGGACAGTAGCACAAGCTCTAAATAATAGGGTTTGGGTGTCTGGCATGCAAGGGGCTCTCACTGCCCAGTTCTAATGGACTATCTTTGGATTTGGGACTTGTAGGATAGAGTGGTCTTGCAGCAGGAAGTTCAGGAACATTTTCGATGGAAGCTTACCCAAAGTGGTACAAATAGCAGCAAGCCCGCTTACAGAGGCCTTCTTTGTTGGTTCCATAAAATTTGCAGCTTGGCGAAGAATCCGACGGAGCTGGGCACCTCTATATTGCAAATTCTTCATTTGGTTGGCATTAAAAGGAAGGATCTGGATGGCTGATCGCCTAGCCAAGCATGGGCTGCAACACCCAGACGCCTGTCCTCTGTGTGACCAGGCACAGAAAACAGCCCAGCGCCTTCTTTTATCATACGTGTTCACTCGTCAGGTTTGGTTCTTCATTTTCCAATACCTGAACCTGGTTGTTGACTTGCCCACAGCAGAGTCCTCTAGTGTCTTGGCCTGGTGGTGCAACACCATCCGGGCAGTGCCAAAAGATATAAAAAAAGGTTTGAACTCTCTCATCATACTTGTGGCCTGGAAGGTTTCGAAGCACCCAACTCCTGTGTGTTTGAAGGAGTACGTCCAAACATCATATACAACTCCAAACAGTGGCGAATGAGAGCTCCTTGTATATATATGGCTGGGACCTCAAAGCTCCAAGAGTTCCTCACTAGGTCACTTATGCTGGGCACTTAGGCGCCGTGGCTACTGGTCAAGTCTGCAATTTTTTTGTTGGCAATTTTGTTTTCAGTTTTGGTGGGTGTGTTGGTGTGCAAAGATTGGGGGTTCTTCTCTAATCTTCTGTATTTGTTCACTTTCTTAATGAAATGACGCACAGCTCTCCTATGTAGTTCGAGAAAAAAAGAAACTCCTGAAGACACCTGTATAAGAGACCAAACTATTTTTGCAAATTGACAGTCAAAAAACAAGTGTTTAAGCGTTGAAAGGACCATGATGTCTAAGGGAGGGCGAATTAGGATTTCTAAAATTAAACTTGGCCTCTAATTATACTTATCAAACCTATACAAAATTTCTATATGAATGTGCACTATGGTTTTACTATGTGTGTTGCTATCTCTACCGGTAAAGAGTTTTTCACACTAGGTTCCAATCATATCACTAACATAGCAAGCTAGACTAAGAATGGAAAGCGCATAACCTACATAAGCAATGTAAAGTGCCAAAGCTTAGAAGATATAGGGATGCAAAGGAATAGCGAAACGTATATCCAAGATGTACAGTACTGTATTATATATTTTATATGGTACCAAGGTGCGAGGACTAGGGAAAAGTATATCCAAACTCCCACACGCTTTATAACCAAACAAATTATTCAGACATGTTCTTTACACTAAAGACAAAATTAGAAAATTCAACAAAATGCTGCACACATGCGCCCGCGGCTAGCCTCAGACAAACCAAATTTGCAACGACCAAAGAAATAGCACCAGAAGAAATTCCTTGGAGGAAGAGGCGGGACCAAGACAAACCGGGGAACCAAACTTACGCCGGAGCCGGATCTCAGCTTCAACCACTCGCCCAGGCCTGAAGTTCAGGCCAGGAAGCTCCATGGGTGAAGATCAGAAGTCATTGTGAGCAGAGCACTGCTAAAAAAACGTTTGTAACAACAGGACAATTTTTTTATAAGATGACTATTGATGGAGCCGCTCCTACAGTGGATGTGCTCAGGACCCACGAGACCAGCCACCCCTATAAATGACACAGTAGGGGCGGCTGGTGATACGAGCCGTCCCTACAAATAGGTCAATTTGTAGGGGCGGCTCACTCACCAGCCGTTCCCGGTGTTGCGATTTGTAGGGGTGGCTCAATCACCAGCCGTCTCTACAAATACCCCACGTATAAATACCTACAGCCCCTTCTTCCTCCTCGGGTCATTCACTCCAACCTGTGAAAAAGGTAGGGAGGCATTGAGCACCTCCCAAAAATTGCTCTACTAAGGGGGATGGTTTTGATCTCAAATCATTTGGTGGAGAGGTTGTAGAAGGTAAGAAAATATTATTCCACACCTTTTTTAGTTTTAATGGTTGGTTAGTGAGTAATTAGAGTTTTGCTTTTCTCTCTTCTATGGTGCTTAAGCTACTTATGAAGCAAATTAGACCCAAGTTTTGAATGTACTAGGGTAAATTAGGTAGGGGGACAAGATTATACCCTTATTTGGTTCATGTTTCTTGATTTTAGTGAACAATTAGTTAGTTTTATGGATGTTTCATGTGCATGTAGATCTAAATTTAGATCTAGGGTTTGGTTTTTTTATTAATTTCATTTTTGTAAATTTAGGTTTGATGAAATTGGACTCGGGTTTGCATGAAAGATATTGGGTAAAATATTAATTGTTGCTAATTATTATCTTTGAAATTGTTTATTGTAATCAACAAATATGCATTTTAATTATTTATGTATAAATAGGCCATTAATTAATTTTCCTCTACCATAGCATGTTTGTATGCTTCATGTAATTATATTTGATTTATATTCATATATATCTGAAGTATATACAATTATTCTCAAGTAATTATTAATTTGATTTATTTTTATATATATCTAAATAAGTAGTCCTTTAATGTTTGTTTTGTTGTTGTTGTAAAAGATGGAGCACATGAACTCTTGGATGTATGGTTCGTTAAGGTTCAAGGCAGGTTTCCGTGAAGAGGTGGATAAATTTATTGAAGTCGCAGAGAAGCATGCAACGACGATGACAGAGAATAATGATACAATTATTTATCCCTGTAAAGATTGCAAGAACCGTATGTCATGGACAAATGTGCCTATCATCAGATCATATTTGATTATGTGATGATTTGTTGAGGACTAGACAATGTGGATTCATCATGGTGAAATGGTTATTGTTAACGACGAGGATAAGGAGGAATACGACGACGAAACCCTAAAATCCCTGTCCTAATATTCAGCAGAGCTTGATGCACGAATGGATCCCGAGTTTGGCAATGAACAAGGTGGTGATGAATCCACACTTGTTCATTGCCAAACTTGGGATCCAACCGTGCTCCAGCCGTCGGCATACCCACTGCAGATGGCGGCGAAGTCCAGGTCCGGGTGGTACGTCGCCATCGAAGTCAACACCCCCGACGACCTGTAAAACAGCTCGTCGGTGATGAGGGCCCAAACCTCATCCGGAACCTCCGCCAGCCGGATGGCGGGTGCGCTGGTACTTGGCGCCGACTCGAAAACTTCCGAGACGACAAGCTGGGCAACATTACGTATCTGGTCAAGTTCCCCCTCAAGAGCATGTCGCTCTTCAAGGGACTTGGCCAGCGCCTCCGCATTCTGGCCAGACGTAACCTTGGCCATCTCTAGGTCTTGCTCCAACGATTCTACCTTTCCACCCAGCTCTAGAAGAAGGACAACAAGCTCAGAAGCAAGCTAAAAAAAGAAACCAACATGACGAAAGCAGAAAATGTACTTACCAAGGCGGGTGTTCTCGAGGATGGAGAGTCCCTCCGCTTGCCGGGTCACCTGCACGCGCAGCCGGGCATTCGCCTCCTCTGTCCCCATCACCTGGCCCCGGAGCGCGAGCACATCCTAGTCGGCCTCCGACCGGGCCTTCCGCTCTGACTCCAGGGCATTCCTCATTGTCTCCAAGGTCTCCAGGGAACTTGGAGTGCCCCCTCAATGTCCACCAAGGACTTCTGCAGCGCCGCCTCAGTCTCTGCCTGGCGGGCCTTGGCCACCTCAAGCCCCCGCTTGGTGCCAGACGCCTGTTCCACCGCAAGCACTTCCACCGCCCGCGCCTCGGCCGCCTCCGCCGCCTGATACTAGGACTCGTGGTAGGGCGGACTCCAGTTGGCGCTCAGGCTCCTCCATTCGGGC